CTAAGCTAGTTTAGCAACTACACATCTTCTCAACATGTTATACCACTACTTAGTTAAAAAAGTCAACAGCTCTATTTTTTTTCAGCTACAGTAAAGAACTTACTTCCTTTTAGCCAGACGGTGATATAGTTTGAAGATGAGATTCTAAAACATTCTACAGGAGTCTTCAAAGGCACTTCAGGTGTGTGGTTGTCATTTCTGATGGTTAACTGTATTCTGGCAGCTCCTAGAAAATCCCAGCTCCCGTCGCCCTGAGCTCTGGCCTAATACACATCAAAAGATAATCCCTCTACAGTTATATTTATGCTTCCACCTTGGTAAATACTAGCAAGTTAAAAGGTTTAATTCTTTATTATTCTCTATATTATTGACACCTATGCACACACTTAATTTTAAGCATGTTCTGTTGACTTTAGTAAGTGCTAAGCACCATGCTTGAAGGTAAGCAACCATCTACGTGCTGCTCTCAGTATGAATGCTTTTCTGCATTGAGACCTACAAAAAAATAACAAAAAACAAATGTATATAGCTGGAGATTGAAGCAGACAAAAAGATGGGGAAAAATAGCAGTAAATTGGCCATGACTCACAGATGATTAAGCAAATGAGTTAAAAATTCAGATGATTAAACCAGAATAATCTAAATATCTGGTTCGCATTGATATGGTGACACATTGATATGTTGAGATATGATGACTTCTTTAGACTATCAGGACAGCAGCTAGTGGACTTCAGAGCTCATAACAGGATTTAGAAAATGGTTTAGAGGTCTTTAATACCAATATTGTGTGATGTACCAAAAAAAAACATTTTATGGTAGGCTGAAGTTCAGGGAAGAGGAAGGGATATAGTGGAAAAAACAGGTACATGAGAATAGTTCATAAATAAAGTGGCTATGCCCTGAGTGCATGTGTGCACTTCGTCACCTTAACCTATTTTTGCAATCATCTGAGTCTCTTTGATGCCTCTTCTCAGCTTTCCTCGGTCATCACTGCATTTAGAAACAAAAGCATCCATGCTCTACTGGGCGTGGGGAAGAGATTATTAGTTGAGCTGTGTTTCAGTCATATTACTGTCTTCATTTCTCTTGGATTTCCTCGTCCATCAGATGATAATAAGTAGACCCAGTGCTCAGCCACAACTGCTGAGAGCAGCATGGTCATTCTCAGTAATGCTGTAGAGATAGAAGGAAATGTTTATCTGAACTCAGCAGGAAAACATTCAGGCACTAGTTTTGAAGTGCGTGGGCATGGAGGGGCTTGGAGCAAACGGAGCTCCCAACCCCTCTCTTTTTTGCCTCAGAATTACAGTTCCTCCTTTCCTGCAGGTGCTGGGACTGAGTCCTCCACATGCTCTGAAGGTCCTTCACAACCCTGAAATAGGAACGGCACAAGAGCCCATAGAAAAGCTTCCCAGCCTTTCCAGCTGAATGTATGTGACTCTCATTGCTGTGACTTTCAAGGCTGGATGGTCAACCAACTCTCCTACTTGCCTTTGAAAATCCTACCACGTTTTCGCCTCAATTAATCTTGAAGTTGTGTCGTGGTTTAGGCCTGAATGGCAGCCAAACACAATGCAGCAGCTCTCTCTCCCTTCCCCTCTGGCAATGAGAAGGGACAGAGAGCCAGGCTTGGGGTTCAAGATAGGACTGGGATGGGGAAAAAATCCCCCTTTTATGATCACGAGCAAAAGGAAGACTCGTTAGGGGAAGAAAAAAAAAGAACATACATTTATTACAGACACTAACAACACATAACAGAGTAGGACAGTGCGAAGCATTGCCACATCTTGAGAACACCTTCCCCCCAACCCTCCCTTCTTCCCAGGCTCAGCTCTGCTCCCGATATCTCTACCTCCTCCCCCAGTGGCGCAGGGGCAGGGAATGGGGGGTGCAGTCAGTGCTGCCACTTTCTTCATCTTCGGTGAGGGGAGTGTCCGGAACTTGTTCCTCCTGCTCTATCGTGGTCCCCCTCTCACAGGAGACAGTCCTCCACAAACTTTCTCCGACATGAGTTCCTCCCACGGGCCGCAGCGTTCCCCACATTGCTCCATCATGGGTCACTAACTTCCTCCAACTGGATTCCCTCCCACGGCTGCAGCCCTTCCCGAGCTGCTCCGGTGTGGGACTCCCCCGCATGCTGCAATCCTCCCAGCGCTGAATTACAGCAGTGGGGCTGCCTTTTCCCATGAGACCCCGGCCTTCTTCAGGCACAGCACCTTGATTATCTGAGCAGGAGCAACAGGCCATAAATCAGTGTCTGCTCTACTGCAGATCTTCATGGGTGGCAGGGGGGGGCCGCCCTGCCGTCTCCCCACGGGATACAGGGGGGTGTCTGCTCCGGCACACCTCCCCCCTCCTTTCTTCCTCCGTTCCTCCACTGACCTTGGTGTTCACGCAGCTGCAGCAACTCCTCCTCACAAGTGCCACTGCCTGTCACCACGTCCCTTCTTAAATACATTATCGCAGAGGCGCAGCCGATTGGCTCAGTTTCCCAAACAGAAGTGGAGCTGACGTGGAGCTGGGGGAGCTTCAAGAAGCTTCTCACAGAGGGCCGCCCCAATAGCCCCCTCCCCTGCCACCAAAAAACTCCACCACTCACTCAACCCAGAACAAGTTGGTTTCCAAAGAAGTGGAAAGTATTAGCTATAAATATTAAAACAGCTGAAATTCCTCACTTTGCAAATGGTTTCAGAGCCAAATAAGGGCTGACTGGAGACAAGCCTGATTCTCACCTTTCTGTGGCAGGCTATTTTTTTTCCTGGGCAGGGAAGGTTGCTGTTGAAGGGAATAGTGCTAATAATTTTCAGTGACTTGGACATGGGGAGAGAGACGCAGAAAGGAAAAGATGGCAGTGGGGTGTTAAAGCTACATTAAAGGACACAAGAAGCTTGGCTATCTTGCAGAATTAATTACCTGGTTAACTGAGTGCCAAGACTGTGATTTTAGTATCGCAGGCTAAAATTTTTAACGGAAAGGGTCTCTCTTAAGAATCCGGATAAGAAACCTTATGTTTAGGAAAACTACACTAATTATAACCGTCTCTTGCTGAGCAGCCCCTAAGGTCCCATGAAGTCCTTGCAGCAGCAAGGTCTGTAAGTGCCTATGGTTACCTCTTCATAAAAGTCCAATTGCTGACAAAAGGAAATTGTATCATCCAGCCTTTCTTCCTCTTTAACAAAAAAGGGGAAATTCCACTGTAGTAATGTTAATGGCAGCAGGATTAATCCTAGGAAGTTTGGCGATGTTTCTTTAAAAGTAGGTCATTTAGCAGAATAATGAAGAGGAGTTGAACACTGACTCTCTCTGCCAGCCTGACCTTGTATTCCTCAGACATGAGCAGCAGGGTGAGGATCAGGCTCCATACAGCCCTTCGGAGCACCAAAAAAAAGTAGCAAGATTGTGAAGAGAATGAAGTAAAGAAGAGCTACGGGGAACCCCTGGCTGCACTATTGCTGTAAATCTTTTCCATTTCCTGACAACGTTTGATGCTCTCTCCACTCTCCCCCTCTCCAGTGAGGTTCCCTCATGCTTGGGATGTTCAGGCTCTTAAGGGTACCACAGATTTGGTTTTGGCACATTGTAAAATGTGGTTATTGTTGGTGAATATTGAAAATAGCTCTTAAATTTTCCATATAATTTAATAACTGTCGGAAAGCCCCATTCAGGAGTAGCTATTACATAAATATGTGCTGTGGCCACTGTTGGGGAAGAAATTACATGTGCCACGGTAGGAAATGTAAGATGTTTTTCATGAACACTTAACCCATGAGTCAAAGAGATTTAGGATCAATATCTGAGCCTGAGGGTGTTTTGCAGAGAAGTGAATAAAATACGGGTCCACTCATACGGATCACGGGAATATGATTCATTGATATTTATGACAATTAAAGATAAAAATTATTTTCTTAGGTCCTCTAGTCAACTGTTCTTTTTTTCCCCACCAATCTTTTCCACATTGTAACAGTTCTCCTCACAGCTTGTCCTATAGTTTTGGAAATCCTGCTCCTCCTTATCCCTAAAGGAAGGTACAAGAGCTAAAATCTTCCTGGTTGAAAACCTGTACCTGACTTCAATCTCTGAGCACTGCAGAACCATTTCCTGTGATTGCAGCAGAGAGATAAAATTCTACACTGGTGGGAAGAAACCGAAATTAGATCAAAGATTTCCAGACAATTAAGAGTCTTAACCCAAGTGTCTTTTGCCATTAATATTTTTGCTTGGGTTTTGTTTTGTTTTGTTTTTTTTTTTATCTCTTCCAGTCAAACAGGGTAGTACTTCATACGGGAAGCCAGATTTGCCCATCAAAACCGACAATACAATTTGAAAGCGTGACAAGAGCTGATCGGCATTTGCATACACTGCAATTCCCTATGCAAATGTGTTTGACTCCGCAAGCAAGCGGCTCATTAGGCACCCAGCGCGCTGTCTGTAGGCGCGCTTCCTCAGCCGGCACCCGCAGGACGAGCCAAGGTGGACGGAATCGGTGGGTTTGGGATGGGCAGTTCCAGCTCTTCCGCCCTGAGGAAAGCTTAGCGTGTAGTTTTGTTTTAGGAGCTGGAAAGAACCGGCTGGCAGCGGAGGCGATGCAGAGGAAGCCCCGGCGCCCCGTCGGGGCTCTGGCCCGGCTGCCGCGTTCTCCCGGGGGGCTGCCGAGGGGCCCCCCCCCAGCCCCCCCCTGCGCCTGACGGAGGGCAGGAGCCTCCCGCTCCCGAGCTACAATACCCAGGGCGAGGCTTGGGGATGGGGGGGGGGGGGGGTCGGCGTGAGCTGGAAAACGCCTCCCTAAAAGCAGGTACGTGCCCGCGCCCTCCGCGTTCGGGAGGGCCTTGAGGCGGGCTGCCGGGGCGAAGCGCTGCCGGGAGGGGGTGGCGGAGAGGTGGCCGGCCACCCCCCCCCCCCCCCCGGGAGCTGCCCCGCTGTCCCCGCGGCCGCGGGGGGGAGCCCGGCCCCGGCGCCGCAGCCCGGGCGCTCCCCGCCCCCCCGAGCCGGCCGCCAGCAGCTGCGAGCGGCCGGGAGGCGCCGGCGCCCGCTCGGTGCGGCTGCCCGGCGGCCCCAGCCTCCCGCCGCCTCTGCGGAGCCGGCACGAATCGCCTTCCCCCCCCCCGCAGCGGGGAGGGCCACCCCCGCGGAGCCCTCCCCTCCCTCCCTCCCTCCCTCCGCCCTCCTCCCGCCGCCGCACACCCCGAGGAAGGGCTTGTTTTCCTGCCCGGATGATGAATTTCTCCGCAAGGTCATCCCTGCCCGCGGCGGCGGCGTGCCCGCGGCTCCCCGGGCGCCGCCGCGGAGGTAAGGGGGGGGGTGTGTGTGTGGGGGGGGGATCGGGAGCACCCCCACCCCCAGCAAGTTTTTTCGGCGCTGGAGAGGAGCGGGGTGGCTGCGCGGGCAGGTGCCCGGGGCGCGGCGGGGTGGCGAGGCGGGGGCTGGCTCGCCCCACCCGGCCTTTCCCGTCGCGGGGGTGCGGGGCGGGCCGCGCCGTGCCCGGGGAAGCGCGGCGTGTCCTCCTCCGCTCCGCCGCGCGTGGGGGCTGCGGCCGCCCGCCGGGCCGACACCCGGGAGCGGGGGGGGAGGCCGGGCCAGCCCCGAGGGGGGTCCTCTTTCATCCTCTGCTGATTTGGACCGGCGCTTGGAAGAGGCTTTGGCTCCCGCACGTTCGGGAGCGCGGAAAACTTAAAAAAAAAAAAAAAAAAAAAAAAAGTGCCCCTCCCGGACCGGGGTGGGGGGGATATGTGCGGCGCGGTCGCCACGGCAACGTGTCGTTGGCCCGCGGGCGCGGTGTCGCAGCGTGGAAGGTGCCCCTGAGGCGGCCGCCGCGGGGGGCACCCCCCCCCCCCCGCCTTCCGCCGCCCCGGCGTGGGGTTCACGTCGAAGGGGTGTCCCCCGGGGCGAAACCGGCCGAAACCAGAGGTGCGGGGGGACGGGTGCACCCGGGGACGGGTGTCCCCGAAAGCCGGGGGCGCTGGGCTGGGAGCGGGAGGGCGGCCCGCCCGGGCTGCGGGCTGGGAGGGTGCAGCGGGGTGAGAGCCCACCTGGACCGCTCGCCTGGCGATGCTCACCCAGTTCGCCTGGGGCCTTGGGACTGGGCGCCAAGCCCTGACGGGCCTTTTCCTCCTGCTGCTGAAGTCAGTGACAGAACTACGGAGGATCTTGCCAGCTCCTAGTCTGTCCACAGATCAGCCTGCTTTTTGCACCCCATACAGGCCTTGGCTTCATTAATATTTTCTTCCTTAATCCTTCCTTTTTCTCTCAGGAGAAGATAACACTGCTGCTGGTGGATTTATTAGAGTCGTAAGAAATTGTTATGATCCCGTAGTCTAACCTTTTCCATAATGTAAAGCAGAGACTAATTCCCCAGTGAGTCCAAGGTCCATCCCACCAGCCTCTTCAAAGGGTCTTGATTTAATGACTTCTAGCGATGGGGAATTGACTACATTCCTGAATAATTGGCTCCGATTGTTAATCTCGTTGTTAAACGTTCGCATCTTTTTTCCACTTTGAACTTTTCTGACTTCATCTTCTAGCTACTGGATCTTGTAATGTCTTTGTCAGATTAAACAGCTAGCTAGTTTCTGATTGTCTCTCTCTGCTCAGGAATTTAAGGGCAGTAATTAAATAGCCACTTAACGTTGTCTCTGACAAGATAAATAGACCGGGCTGCTTTGGTCTCTCCCTGGAATGCAGATGCTCCCCAGGAGAAAGGGCTTGGCCGCTTTTCTCCGGGTCCCCACCGTTGTCCCCCCTGGTCACCGACGACACTGCACAGTGGATTCCAGGAAGGCTCTCATTAATGTCACGTGCGGAGATAATAACCTCGTGCTCAGTATTCCCCTGTCTATTCACCCAACGGTACAAACTTTTCTTTCCCACGACTGCACAGTGGGAACTTCTGCTCTGTTAGTTCCATGCAGTGATCCCTGCGTTTCTTTGCGAGCCAGGGTTTTTTCAGAAGCTGGTTGCCTCTCCTGTAAGGGGCATTTAAATTAAACCTTCCTACGCGCATAACTTTGAGTGTGCCTATATTAAAGACAATTTTCCCTCCTCCTATCACTTTACTTCCACGGAGTCTGCAGCTCAGGAATGACGATAGAGCTCTGGTGTGTTTCTCCCTCTAGAAGTCAGCTGAGATTTTTCCTGGGAACTCCGTGCTAAAAACTGTCTTTCTTGTTAGCATTCTTTCCAAATGACCTTAAAGTTATTTGAAGTTTACTGGGGGAGAAGTTATACTCAGTAATCTACAAACTGCAAACTGAAAGTGCCCATTAGAGTGAACTGGTTTCGTAACTGCATTCGTTCGGCTGCGCTGCCAAGTGTTGGTGAGAGAGCAAGAGATTTGCTTTCCTGTCTTAGAGAACTGTAGATCCCACTGCTGGGTACGATGTATGGGCTGATATATGTATTATCATGTTGCGAATCTTCAACTTGAATTTTGTGAGTGTTACTTGGAAGTGTGCTTAAGCCTGGGTTTATAGCCCTCTTTAGAAAGCACAGTGTCTGAGAGTATGGGCCAGAGGTGGCTGTTTTTGACAGGATATTGCCAAGTTTTCCAGTAGCATGTAACAACTCAAAGCGGACTGAAAGGATGAGATTGAGTAGTCTGAGGGCATCTAGTGTGGAAGATGGTACAAAATAAAATGGTTTGAAGTGGGCTTTTTTTGTTGTTTTTTTTTAGGGGGCAGGGGGAGTGAGTTGTAATCACCTTGACTTACCCTGCCTGACAGCTTAACGTGCACTGGGGAGAGTGATGTGAGAAAGGTCCAAAAATTAAAGACCTTACCTGTGCATGCAGACCAACCCATGAAGTGAGGTGGTGATCCTTGTGAGTAAGATTTGTTTGCGTGAATGAAGATAGCAGGTTCCAGGCTTTAGAATGGCCTAATTGTCTTCAAAGTGTTAAAACTAAGAAACAGTACGTTCTGATTGTGTAATGACTTAAGGATAATGAACTTTCCTGAAATTTCACAAGGATATTTCTTCTTTTCAAGTCCCCAAAAATAAGTCTATACAAAAGATTGAACTAAGTATAGACAGTGATGCACTAAGTATTAACAGTGATGGACCCTTAAAAGGTCTGAAAATCATTACAGATACCGCATCTGATTGAATAGAGTAAGGCTATGAGCTCTAGAATTGTGGTGAATTTTCTACAGGCTAGTGTCAGCATCTTAGGAATTGTTTGTCAATTGTTTATGTAGTTGTATATCCCTCCTAATGTGAAATTTGAGATATTTTTTTTACCTGGGAGGTGTCTTTCCCCCATCCATCCAGACTCAGCTTCTCTCCCCCAAACTGTTCTAATTTTTCTGAGTTTTTTCAACATAAGTTTTCCCATCTTAAGCTTGCATCTTCTCTTCAACTCCTTTTGCAATCAGAAGAGCATGCATATGTTTCCATAGGATGACTGGTCCCAAAACTTACACATTCTTGAGTCATGATGTCCATCCAGAATCAGCCCAGCATTAAGAACAGTAGCCGTTAATTAATCCTACAAGGCCAGGACACACAGGAGGTAGTATATTTATGAGTTTTGAACTTACAGTGTCAGCTGAAGACTGTCCAGCAAGTGCTATGTTCTAGTTAGGCAGATTTGATTAGCAAAATATGTTGACAGTAATAAAATTTGTCAGATTTGGGTCCTACAACTGTTACTACCACCTTTATTTTTAACTACATAAACCTCCTCCATCAGATGCAGCCAACGCTAAGGAGAACCTGATTATATTAAGAACAACATCCTGTCTCCAGTTTGTTTGTGAAATCATCACTGATGTAGGAGTAAAAGCAAGCTGCTCATAGCTACAGGCAGCACAAAATTTTGTAACTTGTACAACTGTGCTTCTAGCAGTGCATCATTTCTTAATTGGTAACTATCACATTAAAGGCAGGGGTGGGGTTAAAGGCAGAGCTGAATCTGTTGCCTTTATGGATTTAAGAGCAATCCTGGATTAAGAGCTGATATTATCTAATGGCATGTAATGACTTCATAGCTGATAAATCTTTCATACCCACCCTACAGGGTTATGAACTGGTTCTATTCGTGCAAAATTCTTAAAAATTAGTTGCGTTGTTACTGGCAGTACTTTGATATTATTATGGAAGATCAGAAATGTAACAGAAGTCACTCAGGATTGTGTTAGCTTTGGATACAGATTGGGTGCCCTAATTGTAAACCTTAATACTATGTGACAGGATGTCTAAACTGATCCTATATTTGGTCTTATACATTCAATCATTTAGGTAAACATCACTTTCTTGAGAGTCAGAACAAAACAAAGATTGATAATATTTACTGGGGGAAAACAAGTTCTGGATATGTTCTGAATGAAATTACATTACCTTCCAGTAGGAAAAGCTTTTGAGAGCATATCTGAGCACAGTTGACTTTTGCAAATAGTAAAAATAGAAAAGGGCTACACGTGTCTGTTTTATTATATACGTGGACTTCGAACTCGGTAACTGTTCTATAGAAACAAAGACTTGTACTGATTAAAAATTTAATCACAGATGATCAGTTACTTATTAAATTTGAGCTATTAGTTTCTCGGAGTCCATGGCTAAGGGTTCGCGTTTGTAAACTGGCAGCAGATCCGAAAGGGCAGAGGTGTCAGCACGCTGCTGAGTAAATAGGAAAAAAAATGCAATGCCAACACTTGCAACTCTGTGTGGGGTGGAGAGGCAAAGGGAAAGGTGAAGAGCAAACGAGTAACAACTAGGAACCAGCATAGTAGCATTTTGCCCCAGTTTAGCCTGTCAGCAGTGGACACCTGTACTTGAGGGAAAATAATTAAGTGGAGGGAAGAATGCCAACAACCACAAATATCACAATGAATTGCTGTAAGTGTTTCTATCGGGGTGCTACAGTCGTGTCCGCAGAGGACAGATTGAATTATTCTTCCCCCACCCCACCTCTAACTCCATGATCCTGTGTTACAAAACTTGATGGCAGGTATGGAAGCTATTACCACAGCCAGTAGCAACCAGACATCCAGGGGGGTCCTGTTATTTTTTTGAATGATCCAGGGACAAGAGTCTGTGTCTATTATATCTGTGGTGTAATTGTTAGCAACTCCTATTACTTTTACTGTTCATTCTACTATATTTATTACACTTTCGTAAAACATGGTAATACCAGTTGACTTTTCTCGCTTCCTTGCCTGCTTTCTTCCCTCTGAAAGTAGTTCTCTTAGAGGGACAAGATGAAGTTAATCAAGGGGGACACAGACACCCCAGTGCTTCGCTAAATTATTATCTGTGTTATTAGCATCTCTGCATACTCCTAGTATCTGTATTTA